ATGAACTGTAACAATACATAGGTAGGCCAGCAGAATGGACAGACAAGACGAATAAAGAATTAAACAACTGAGGTAGTGCATTTTGGTGGAACGAATGGGATGAAGCAATATTAACCTAATGGCACGGTTCAAAAAAAATGTGCAGGGATAGAAAGATGTAATTCCACATATAAAAACATTGTGGTTTATTAAACGAACTGTATAATGAAAACTTCTAACTGATACTTAAACATGTTTATTTGTTTTCTCTTTAATAGGGGTAATCTAATGCTCAGGAGTTTTGCAACTGATACATTGTTTGATGTGGATGCAATTGTAGCAAATATATTATTGTAAGTATGTCCTTAAATAGTTTGTTCCAGTTTAAATTCAGTTAGTTCACTTAGTGAAAATGATAGGATTGAATTTTCTAAGTTTTCAGAAGTTGGTGTGTGTTGTGCTGTACCCCTGAAGTTAAGACTCCATGCATGCAAGATAGTTTATTTTATTAATTGGAAAGATGAAAATCTAATAGAATAAGCTATCATTTACTACTTTGATTGAGAGAATTGGGTAGAATTGATCTTCTATTGAATCACAGTTTTTACCATGTTTCCTTCTGGTGTGTGTCTTATGACCACTACATATGAAAGGAGAGGTCAGATGTCAACCCAGCATTTTAATTAGTACAGATAAAATTTAACCCTTTAATTGGTCCTTTCCTCTGTATGTACTTGAATATCATCACGAGAAGAACATTTTTTCACCCACACATGTCTTGGAATATTAATCAACAGTGGGATTTCACTTTTCTTAATCCAGATTAGTGAGGTTCTAAGACACTTTCCTTCCGCTCTGTTGTCCAGCCCAACATGTTTTCACAACTTCCACCAAAACACTAAATATTCACTGAGATAACAAGAACTGCAGATGCTGGAGTCTGAGATAACAGAGCTGGAGGAACACAGCAGGCCAGGCAGCATCAGAGGAACAGGAAAGCTGATGTTTCGGGTCGGGACCCTTATTCAGAAAAACTTCTGAATTTTTGTTTCTGTTCCTCCAACTCTTTGTTATTAAGCTAAATATTCATTCAGCTTTGCTGTTTGTGGCACCAAGCTACACACATCAGCTGCTCCCTTTATTTACACAATACAGTAGTAATTATATTTAAATAAATAATTCATCAGCTGTGAAGCACTGAGTGTGTGCGAGAGAGAAATTGAATTATTAATTTTTTAAAAAGTCAGATGACTACGATGTTGAAAAGCTGAACTATTGCATTAAATCAGAGCAAACACTGAAACATCTTTGCCCTTTTTGCTTGGTTCTGATGCTCATCCTTGATTTATGAAAAAAAAAATGCTTAAAGGCTCCTTAGCTCAGAAAACTAAATCCTTCCAAGTCTAAGTGCAATGTGCATTTTTGATCAGATTTTGCTTTCAACTGGTTATCATTGTTTTTTCTTCATATATTAAATAGGTCTTTGCCTGTTGACAGATATTTTGTATGTTCTTTTAAGTATCACCCTCTGTTCTCCTCCACAACATTATTTGGCTTTACTTTATTCATATTTAACTCATATTCTAGTTGAGATACGTGTGTGTGTGTGTGTGTGTGTGTGTGTGTGTGTGAGAGAGAGAGAGAGAGAGAGATAGAGGGGGGTCAAATGGTGCAGTGGTAGTGTCCCTACCTATGGGCCAGAAGGTCAGGGTTCAAGCCTGTTCTACAGGTGCATAATAACATGTCTGAACAGGTTGATTAAAATATCTATATATGTCTGATGTGTGAAAAGTTGCTGAGAGCATTTTAATTTGATGGTATTAGTCACGTGTTCATTGTTTGGATTAGATTGTGAATATCTAATGTGATTGATTAGAAATTCTTTACAGGGACAGCAATGGTAAATATTAAGCAAGATGTTTCCTCCCAACTAGGATTTCCTTTATAGATAGACTGTTTCTGGGTCGTAGTTCTATGAGCACCTACTACCCTAGGCATCATGTCCTTAAAATATTCTTTAAATATAAGTGTAGTAAATATTACTTTTTTGTGGGAATATTGTAGTTGATCGTATTGTTATCCTGAACAAGCATACAAGCTTTCTAGCAAGAATCTTGTGTATTAATCAAGACTGGAAACTTTTGCAATGTGCTAAGTTTCAGCCTGCTGACACCAATTATTGTATCCTTGGTACCACCCTTGGTGAAAAATATCCACACAGAAATGAAATTGAAACTTGGTGCTTTCAAACTCATTTACATAAGAACATAAGAACTAGGAGCAGGAGTAGGCCGTCCAGCCCTTTGAGCCTGCTCCGCCATTCAATAAAATCATGGCTGATCTCTTTGTGGACTCGGATCCACTTATCCGCGTTCTCACCGTATCCCTTAATTCCTTTATTGTTCAAAAAAAATCTACCTTATCTTTAAAAACGTTTACTGAAGTAGTGTTAACTACTTCACTGGGCAAGGAATTCCAAAGGAATTCATATTTAAATCATATTCTAGTTCAGATACGTGTGTGTGTGTGTGTGATAGAGGGGTGTCAAATGGTGCATCTGGGTGAAGAAGTTCCTTCTCAATTCAGTCCTAAATCTGCTCCCTCTAATCTTGAGGCTATGCCCTCTTGTCCTAGCTTCACCTGCCAGTGGAAACATCCTCTCTACTTCTATCTTATCTATTCCCTTCATAATTTTATATGTTTCTATAAGATCCCCCTCAATCTTCTGAATTCCAATGAATATAATCCCAATCTACTCAGTCTCTCCTCACAAGCCAACCCCCTCAACTCCGGAATCAACCGAGTGAACCTCCTTTGCACCCCCTC